GGCCTATCCTTATGACAGTGAGGAGTGGTATCTCGACATCCGTGACTCAACTGTGCTCGAGCTTCAGAAAGCACGCCTTGACGTTGCCGCAAAGATTGGATGCGATGCAGTGGACCCTGACAACGTCGACGCCTGGCAGCAGGATGGCGAAGACCCTACAGGTTTCGAACTGAAGCCATCCGACTACACCAAATACCTCAAGAATCTTGCAGATTACGCCCACTCAATCAAGACCATGGATGGTAACCGTCTTCTCGTGGGCCAGAAGAATGCACCTGAAATTGCTGAGGACCTTGTCTCAGCCCTTGACTTCGCTGTTCTCGAGTCTTGCCGCGGCACTACGGATCCTGACGAGGAGAACTGGCCATTCTGCGAGGACTTCCAAACATATGTCGATGCTGGCAAGCCTGTACTCCAGATTGAGTATCCTCCTTCTGTTGAGAAAACTGGTAAGCTCAGTCCGTCCGACAATACCTACTACTGCACTCCCAAGGGCGAGGACAAGGGTTTCAGCAAAATCTTGAAGTGGGCTTCTGCTCAACTTGACGGCTGGGGTCAGTTCTGTGGCGATGATCCTTTCCGCACTCCTGTCATCAACGAGTAGAGCCGTTCGTGAACAAGAAGTGTTTCATATACCTGCATATGAGACTGTTGGTCTCTGTATACCTAGAGTGGTGCAATACTGCTTAATGAAACCCGCTGCCACTTTGAACATGGCTCTAATCGACGTCAAATTTTAGCCTTCTATTCGATATCTACCGCATTGATTTTATTTGATCATTCTTTTGCCCGTTCTGTTGACTTCCTTTACATTCTCAAACAGCCAATCCATAGTCACCCAAGGCTGTTTACGTGTTTGTACATAAGGTAGCCTTGGGGCGTCAACTATAGCCCACCAGCGTTCCTATATTTCCACGTATTTCTTCCTCTGAAAGCCCAGCTGTGAGCACAGAAATTCCCTCGTGGTGGATTTCCGTCTAACATTATACTGGCTATGATGTGTATCAAGGAGGGGGAGTTGGACAACGTGACGAATCAGCAGGAGCCGTATAGATGTCCAGTCACAAGTCAACGCGTGAGAATGATTCATTCCATCAGCTTTTGCAAAAGTATCCAAGACAGTGGATATCGATCTGAGAGCCTCGCACCTACCTTACTCATGCTCCATTACCAGCATATCGTGGAAAGTAGAGGCCATAGGATCCCTCACGTGCAAGTTTTGTTAGTTACTCACCATGCTCAGATTTCTAGCCAGTGACTCGCACGCGACAGAAAACACCACATTCAAGAGCCCTATGTCAATGGTGGAATTTGTTCCATATTTAGGTAGACAGGCTTCACGGGGGGGGGGGTTTTTTTCTCTTTCTTTTTGTGTATTTCCTCCTGCATCCGGGCTATATATGTAATTCTTGCTGAAAATGTCGCTGCAAGCTGCTTCTTTGTGGCCCTTTATGGATAGTCTCATCCAAGCATGGTAGTTATGGTCCGTGGTTCTAGATACACTTTTTTGAAGATGGCGATCTTCAAATACAATGTTGCAGCTTCCAAGCCTCCCCTTTTTTTGCACTATCCTTGGGAACGCTTTTCTGAGATCAAGAATATGCAATAGTAGTTAATCGCTAACCAATACTCAGTATAGTGAAAAGAAAGTTGAGTGTAGTCATGGAAATTGTTACCATATCACTGGGCGATGCCAGCTCTGGCTTTTTGGTGCATCTTCCGAAGCTGAGCTGCCACAAACACCACAAGTGCAACACCAACGACAAGACCTATGACAAGAAGCATAACATCAACGGGCACTGGGTTACCGTTGAAGGTCTCGTGGAACAAGACATCCAGGCCAGATTGTGAGAAGTTTAACAGGCCCGAAAGGCAGATAATGAGGCCGTACACAGTTCCAAAGGTTCGGAAACCAAACACCTTTGCACTGTAGTCGGACACAGCAGTGTAATAAAATGGGCGGTACAATACAAAGAGTACAATACCAGTGTATGCTGCCCACTCAAAGGGGAGGACTCCCAAGATACCAATGAGCGTGCCAAATGCAACGAGTGTCGATAGCACAAGGACAGTGCTGACATGGTCAAGCGCTGTTCCGATGAAGGGAATCGCAAATATTCCACCTGCTGGCAAGGCTACATCGAAGAAAGTATTGATCCTTACAGCACGATCGTGGTCGCCGAAGATGGCTTCGTACTGCGGTCGTATGGTCGCGACGAAGAAGTTGATGCGTGTCATTTGAACGACAGTGAAGAGGCAAATGAGGATGAACCAAGGAGAGCGGATTTGGTCTATCACAGTGCGGTCATGGAGGACTCCCCAGACACCCGATGCAACATGCTGTCTCTCCTTGGCCTCAACTTGATCATCACCCTTGGACGAGCCTAGGAGGTTCTCGATATCATGTACAACAGCTTCGCGCCTTTCCCTCTCTTCACGACGCTCATCGCGGAGCAAAGCTGTATGCTCGTCAATCTCCTGCTGCGTGCTCGATGTCGAGTGCACAACAATGTTTTCATCGGCTTCAGCAGCCTGGTCGACAAGCTCGCCGACAGTCTTGTAAGACTGTCCAGGCATGACAACAATCTGACTGACGAATATCACAGCAGGGATAATCAAGTAGGCGAGGAAGAATTTGCGGAGGGTGAAGCTACCCTCTGTAGCATTGTAGATCAGACGGTAAACAAGAAACAATGCACTCGAAGAGTCGAAAGCGCCGGTCAAGAGCGCGAGGATGAGACCTGAGTACCGCGGGAAGGCATTGGAGAGCTGAAACGATGAGATGTATGTGAATGGGCCACCGAGAGCGAGGAACAAGTATCCGGGGAGAAGACCGTCGAAAGGCAGGGATCCAGCATATGCCATAAGTAATGTGCCTATCGTTAGGAAGAGACACCCAAGCAAGCCACATACACGAGGACCGAAATGGTCGAGAATTGCGCCAACAGGAAGGGCTGCAACGTTTGTCCCAACAGCAGCGACTGTGAACATGAGATTAAGCCTGATTTCAACGCATGTGTCCTGGGGATCATCAGAGATAGCGTTTGTATCAATGGTTGGGATTTGATAGTGGCTGAGCTTGCATACATCAGAATATGCACCTTCAAGCTTTAGGACTGGCTTGATGGCAGCATAGCCAAAGACTAAACAGTGTTAGCAACTTTACCACAGATGGCAAGGTTTTGATAAGAGACTTGCCTATGCCCGCGGCGAAGAGACAGTGTACAACTGCGGCACCAATCTGGACTAGATTCATTTGTTAGTATAGGTTTCTTATCTACCTACACATCCAATCCGTTGATAAGTGAAAACTCACGCAATCGCTTCCACTGGGGGACCTCAAATGCCCCAACAGTCTGAGCATGCTGCTCATCTGGCCTCAACGAAGCCGTTTCGAAGTCCTGAGGGACAGGATTGAAAGTCAAGCGTCGAACGCGCAAACTCGCATCACTCCCTCTCCTCTCAAGTGAAGCGCCATGACCGGGCGGAGCGGTCAACGTCTCGATGCTTTGAACACGGTTCAGCGACATGCTCGGCGTGCCGAAGTTTGAAAGAACCGGAAGTGAGTGAGGTGGGAGAATCTGACTGGTGTCACTTGCAATGGGCAGGCCGTCTGAGATAAGGTAGGTACGGTAGGTACCTAGGTATTTAAATAAATGGGCTCCGGGTAAAACATATAATGTGGAGTCAATGACGATCGATGAAAGGAAGCTTGGGGTCGTGATGCGCCACTAGGAAGGCAACCTGCAGTAATGCGCCTTTAGCGGTAATATTTAGCTGTGTTTTTTATCTTTATCAATGTCCTGTATCAAAATATGACTGGTTTTGTCACTAAACAGATACAACCCTGGGCTGCAGCCAGGAACCCTCAACATCCTCATGCATGTCAACCTCCACCGTTACAGTTTGTCATTTTACTGTTACGCCCAGCGTCTTGTACTCTTCTCAACGGTATTCTTAGAAAGTGTCTAGGCAACACCAGTTGGCCAGAGTTGACAGCTTAGTAAATACATCACTATTGAGCATTAGAGGCCTATCAAGATGTATCCCTACCCCTCCGTGATCTAAGATGACGCACAGAGCGGCACACGAGTACATAGACGCATCCATAACCAGGATTGGTTCCGATCAAGGGTCACATGCAGCAGCAGTGCGGCAACATGCTAGATTGTGGTTGGTAGAGGTTCGAACAAGGTGGTGAACGCATGTGGCGTCTGGGGAACAAGACGTTCCCTAACTTAGACCATCACGGAACGGGGCTATTCTATCCCGTCCAACGACCACTCTTTCATTCATCGAACCTAAGGTATGGATGAATGAGCAGTCTGTCACCTCACAATTTCAAAACAAGGGCTACCAAAGAATGCAATTATCGTACTTTAAAAGACACTATACACTATCCAAAATCACAGACATTACGTAGACAAGCTAAGCTCAAAGAAGGGGGCATTTCTATTCCAGGACCCAACGACGTTGACCACTTGATCTCATTGCTGTCCGAAAAGATTCCTCCATCGCCATCTCTTCGGTTATGGGTATAAAACACCTTGAGGGCTCCTCCCAATGCAAAATTGACAATCGCTGGCTGCATTCGTCTGTCGCCAAACAATGGCTCAGGGCATGATCGTTCCGTGAGGAGTCCAATGTAAGAAACAGGCCAAAATGCAATATATGGAGTACTTGCTGACATAAGAAAATAAAGTAAAACAAATACTGTTAGAAAAGGACGCTGAGAACAAGACAAGCCAGTAGATCGGCTGCCGGAACGCTCTTAGGTCCTTACTCATCCAGCTATCCAAGAGATTCAATCCGGCTCAAGAAATGGGAGGAAGCCTGCTCATGCCAGCCGTCGCGCACCTCACCGATATAATTAACTCAGGCCCAACAGCTTGCGCTCGTCCGTGGCCCGCGGCCGAAAGGTCCCAAGCTCTGTCACCCAGAATATTGACAAGAAGTTCCAAAAACGCACATCCTACTTGACTTCGTCAAGTAACATTCTTTTAATAGTATCGGACAGTGATCTTTTGGCCCTCGGCAGCAGCAGTCTACAAAAGAATGTCAGTATTTCGCAGATGTCGCAAGAGGACAAGGATAACTTACGGTGCAGCCAGTTCCCTCACTCCACTGGCCATTGACGTAGGAGCATTTCTTATTGCCGCCCTTGATCTCAATGTTGAAATCAAGGAGGGCAGTGCTGGTTGGTGAGTTCTGGAAAATGGAGACAAAGGTCAGGCCGTTCTTCATGCCAACGCCGAGAACCACAGGTGCCCAGTTACCGGCATCCTTGCCCGTGGAGCTGTCCCAAACACAAGCCTCCTCGACAGTGTAGCCCTTCTTGTTGACGTAGTATTGGGCTGAGGTGCCTACACCGTCCCAGACATAGTACTTGTCCTGGTTGGGGTTGCAGACAGCGACGCTGCTACCAGGCTCAGCGACAGCAGGGATAACCATGTTCTCAGTTCCGGGGTAGTCAGTTCGGCAAGTCGCAACCTGCTCGTCGAGGTCATTTTGAATAGTGACACCACCGACACCGGGTTCGCAAAGAGTGTCGTAACCGTCGCGGGTCAGTTCGAGCTTGCCATCCTTGTTGCAGTAGAGTCCACCAATAGACTCGCGCTCGGAACCTTGAGCAGAGGGCCACTGGGTCTTCTGGTAGCCAACGGGGCAAGCGTAGGAGCACATAGCACCGGACTTGCAACCGTCGCCAGAGATGGCAGTGTCAATCTGGTAGATTAGCTTGGACACGGAGCTGTAGTCAGGGCAGTACTGAATACCAGACCAGCCGCCAAGGTTCAGCCAGTCGAGGGCAACAGCACCATAATCTGAGGGGAACTCGCTGCAGTCGACAGTACCGCTCACAAACTTCTTGTCAACACCGGTGGCGCCGCTGGAGCCACTGTAGCTGGAGCCGGAGCCGGAGCTGGAGCCACTGGTCTTGGGCTTGGAAGACTTAGGCTTGGAGGCCTTGGATTCAGTGGCGGCTGGGGCCGAGTAGACAGCAGTAGTAGCTGCAGCAGTCTTAGACTCGTAGAATTGAGCGCCCACCTCCTTCTTGGGCTGAGAAACTTTGGCGGGCTGAGCAGCACTGGTGGCAGGAGCTGCGGGTGCATCGTAGGTAGGGTTAGACTCGCCAACAATGACGAGGCTACCACCATCGAGACCAGCCTTGGCGGCCTTGATGTCGATCTCCTCTCCACCGAGCTCATAGACGGTCTCAGTGGCTGCGACAACGTACTCGGTGATAACATCAGGATCACGCTTCTCGACCTTGGAGCCAGCGTGGCGGCGGGCGTGCATGTGCTGGTGCTGGTGATGCTGGGCGGTGGCACCGGCGGCGAGCGTAGCCGCAAGGGTGTAAGTGATGAGGTGCTTCATGGTAACGGTTCAACCTATATATCTGGTTCAAACTTGTGATTAGCCTTCAACCTTTTCCTGTTGCTATGAGACAATTCCACAGTGCATGTTCATGAAGGAGAGCCGATGAGACATGAGAGTTTGCGCGGTGCATCACTTGCGCACGTGTAGACGTGCAAAGCTTCCTGTCGTCGAGTTTGCCGTCACCTCAGTTGATCAGGTCCGAGGTCGTTCGTGTGTCCTGGCTCATGTTGCTTTCCCCTCCAAACATAATTGATCTTGCGCCTCACATGGCCCGTTTTCCACCAATAATTTCCCTCGGGTTGCCCGTGGCATTCTTCTCGACCATCGCAGCCGACAGTCGTTGCATTTGTGATGGTTGTTGTTGTTGCTCCTTGAATTGGTACGACTTGAATCTCGTCTCTGCCACATTGGCCTCGTCTCCAATCGCCACTGTTCCCCTTCTTTGCGCATCGACTAACCTTTTATTGACTCTTAAAGAATGTTGTGTTTTTGAAAGTATGTCCAATCCCCTCGACTAAGTGAGCGACTGCTGTAAAAGCGAACGTGATAAGGCAAAGAGCCGGGGAAAACAAAAAACAGTTGATAAATGAGTGTGGGAGAGAGTAAGTAAAGATGAAACTCTCAGTTGGCATGGAAGGAGCACACGAGGAAAGCAAGAGGAACAAAGCGCCTGGGGTTGACGGAGACGAAAGGGGATAAGAATGAAAAGAGGTCCAGCGTCTGGTCCAGGATTGGGGAGGGACCAGGGACTGGGAGAGTCAGGGGAGGCCTAGAAGGGGGTCAGACTAAGGCAAGGAGCATGAGCAGGGGGTGTTGATTAAGTCCAGAAAGAAGACCGCGCAGAAACCAGGATTAGGCGGACCTCACAAGAGATTGGCATCCGAAAAAGCTGGGCCCCGTTGATGAATGCGCACCCGGCGACGATGAGGTCTGGGACGCAAACAGGTCCTAGAACGTATCATTGAGTGAGACATGACATTGAGAAAAATACCAGAAGCGGGCTTTTTTCTTTCTGCCCCAATCAGTCTAGTATCCGTATCAGTTCCAGCGTCAACTCGCATATGCTGGAACACGACATCTTGATCTACCTCGGCCAAGGGAGTTCCTTTTCAGCAAAGTGTTTAAGGGATGACCGACTTCCAAGTCCAGGGGAGGCCGGGAGATTCACATAAGGAGAAGACGCCAATGGGACTAACAACAGTCCAGGCCTCCAGGGGATGCTAGTAGGAAATCGTCTAGAAACCGACGCAGGACAACCAACTAGTTAATCTGAGCGAGTTCATGACAGGCCATCGGCCATCAACTGTTGTTGATCCTGCTCAAGAGTTGTCTGCCAGGAACAGGGGAAATTACACCTTTTTGGTTTGGTGGGTAACCTTCACAGACCCATCTCCGTGCCTCTAGACTCTAGTTGGCTAGCATAAGCTGTCCCCTGTTCCTGTTGGACAATGCCCCTTCGGGAACCAGGCACAGTGCAGGCGCAGCATCTGGGACAAAAACACACACCTGCCAAAACAAATTGCATTTCCGTCTTCATTACCAAAATAGAGCTCGCCTGACAATGGACAACGAAAGTGAATCAATGCGCGCAAGGCTAGGTATCTCAGTACTCCGTACCTAGGTAGGTACTATAAGGTAGGGTCTTTGCGCCAGTACTTGGGAACATCACTCATATGAAAAAGAGATCGACATTTCCCCCTTTCCTTTATTCGCTTGTGCATGAGAACGTTGTCAACAACAATCAATTAATCTTCTGTTCTTGGTCCCTTGGCCCGTTGCTGGTTACATATGCGCCTTACGTACCACTCCAAGAACTGCGGATGTACTGTGTACGCATTATCATCTACACCCATGCAATTTGCCTACCCGCTGTTGTCGTCGTCATGGCATAAATTGCGATGAACAGATCCCCGTGTCCTCGGTTGTTAGATCCACAGGTAGACAGGTTAGCTGCCTATGTACTAACGCACAAGGAGAACAGGGGACTCATACCGCTACTCCCACAGCAACCGACCTATTCAGTACGTGGAGGGCCGCTACACAGTACTTCGTACAATAGCGCGCCTACGTACCACTGAACCCAGCACAATACCCATTTCCACCGTCTGATCACAGTGATCTACGGATAAGCAACTGCTTAGCTTAGGGTGGGCCTTGACTTTGGCTGTCTATGGCTCAGTCTTCGTCCGCGAGTCCAATACATTCAATACAGTTCAGATCTAGCCTCTGAATCCTTGGAATAGTTCTGTACAGTAGGTACGAAGCAAATTGAATGAGTGTCTATTTCATCAGTCTGTCTACCTTACGACCCAGCCGGTCAGACCATTTTTCGCGAATTATGAAGCCCAAGTGCATCCCTAAGTACACCTACCTTGAGGTACCTAGACATGGGTCTCTGTGGAGCTCCGTTCCGCAATTGCAGTACAGAGTACGGATACAGCGCATGTGCTAGCCGAAAGCCTCAGCTGCATTTCACTTTCGGGTACGGAGTACAGGCCTCAAGGGTCTGTTTTGTTATTTTCAGGCCCACTTATAGGTATCTCGCCACAGCTTAGGTATTCCCCTTAGGCTTGATTGGCGTTGTACAGACGCTAACAAAACAGACCCTTGAGGCCTGTACCTGGCACTAGGTAATCTTCTAAATCTGCTACTCTCGGGCTCTAGATCAGAGAGACCCTTCAAAACTCTCTTTGGGGTCACCGTTAGCCGTTTCACAATGAGGTCTGGCGGTAAAGCCAATCACGAAGGCGAGTTTTACGAGCACAACTCTCATTTCAATTGATAGCCGCCAGCGATCTCCGGTTAGTAAGATCTCACTCTACCAGCCTCTATGGCCAATGTTGCTCGACACCGATATACCCATCTGGTTGGTCGCTGGTTTAATGAGGTTCAAAGCTGTTACTTGCAAATCAGCCAACCAAGCTCGTTCATAAACATACAATGTCGTGATGCTCGGTTTGTGACTGAATGCATCTTGTCTGGCTTTGATCCACCAAGAGTCAGAATTAGATCGGCATTGCCGCGTCTTGTTAATTCCCTGACTGCCTCAATGATTCCTCATCCTGGTATTCGCCAAGCGACTTCTGGCTGGATGCGAAAATAACAGTTGATGGCGTCCAATCGACAACGCCTCGGCAAATACTTAATCTTGCTTCCTTGCTCAAGTCTCTCCTGACGTTTCTCAGCGCGGATCGTGGCCAGACTTACAGCGACCCCCTACTTTGATTGAGTCTGACTGCGAAGTTTATCTTTCTTTTATTAATCACTTCTCCTTCTTTCTCTTCGCCATGTTTCTAAAACGGTGAAGCCCCCTTTTGGACAAGCCAGCCCAAGCCTTGGCCTTCTTGTCTCTCGTCTTTTCTGGTTTTGCAACGCAACCAGCTTGTTTAGAGCTTAGACTACTCCGTAACGTTCTCCTTTTCTTTTTCTCTCCACTTTTTGTCTGCTTTCCCTTGCATTGGCCTTCGGGTCTTTCATCGGCTGGATATTGTCGGTTCGGCGGCACACGTCAGCACCTAATTTCGTCCTCTCCTAAAGATACCTATTGTTAAGTCGCTGACAGCCGCCACATGGTTTCGTCTTGTTACAGTGACTGGATATGTCTGTGTAGAGAAGCATGCTCGTGTCCCTCGGGGTCAGTAACAGTTGACCCGGTATCAAAATACTCAAGAATAAGCCAAGTACGTTACGCCTACTGGCACAGGCATAAGGCTTAGGCCCCTCTTTCGATGGCCTCTTTTTTTTTAAAATAATAATTTAAATACAAAAAATGACGACAAAGAAAGTACCTCTCTCTCCCCTAGCCGGACCGCCTTGGGGCGTCCGAAACGCTCCTCTTTGATATCATATGAACTATCCGCAGTTAGATGAGTTTTATATGTACGACCTTGGTACAGACTGTCACTTCCCTTGTATATGTTTCACAACGTTGACATTGTCCATGTATCAGCGCTCCTTTCACTGACGAGTCTGCTTTGTCCTTCCAGCCCCCTGACATAGCTATTTTCGTCTTACAATTGTGGCCAGTGGCTATGAAGTCGTGCCTCGTTGAACTCTGTCTGTAGTACAGACCTTTCAACCAAAGTAGTACATATCGAATACGAACGATCTTGCATGAAGTTGATATCTGTTGTGATCTGTAAGGCAGTATGTCCGCTCTCATGGTTGCATCAGTATCCTAACGGAGCTGAGACTTTCGCGTTTCTTAGTGGCATTCGTCACACGTTTGCTTTGTATACTTGTGGCTCTTCTTTTAATTTGGTCCTGGTTACATGACACGGTTCATATGACGTGGAACTGCATTCCACTGTGGTGAGTAGTCTCAGTTAACTTGAGACCAGTTACCATGTCTGGATGTGTTCATGCGCAGGGTGCAGTTCATGATTGCCAGGGCAAGCCGCTATCCGTACAAAGGTCTGCAATACAATGGCTACCCGTATCTTAGATACAGTCCAGAGACTCGGGAAGTGGTCTGAAGTTGAAACAGAGAATGTCCAATCAACTGCAACGACGCCATTGAGTGACAGTCACGTAGTACTATATATTGCTTTGGATATACTTAGCACAACTTATCACAATGCACGAATGATTCAAGGCACCTTTTCAAATCTGTCTCTGATGTGGCATCGCCTACCCTAAACCTTAACATGATCGTATTGAGGTTGACGCTGGTCATCTAACTTATCTAACTCCTATTGAACTTCCGCAGTCCTGTGTCTATAGCAGTTTTATACCTAATCAATATGTGTCTCTATGCAGATATGTGCTGAGAAATTCAAAACTACCGAAATAAAAACTGTGTGCTGGCAGTGTTACAACATGACCAGCATCAAGAGACAGAGCACAACTGTCGAATCACATGGGCCAAATAACAATACAATATCTCAGTCAGACATGTAATTAAACCATGAGTCAGCATAAGAATGCGGTTGCTATCTAGGTTTCAAGATACCAAATGGTGCTCGTCATGGGAAGGATAAAAAACTTCACCTGAGACA